CTGTGCTATACCCGCATGTTTTTAAGCACGACAACCACAATTAGTATATGGCAGCCAGTAAGTAGTATACAACATGCTACTTCTCAAATTTAACCGGACCTAACTTAACTGGCAAATAGCATTCAGATGAAACAACACCATAGGCAACAAATGGTCAAGCACTGGACTAGTGAATGCGAATGAAACGTTCTTCGAGATATGACTAAATGGAGGACTTCGAAAGGCTTTACATTTGACTGACTGTGACCCATACTTGGAGTACCGCTCGATCCATACTACTAGTTACAGTGTTGCGTCAATTTTAAGACTTGGTTTATCACGTGACTTCGGGCTGTTGGAGTAGATCCCGTTTTCGGTGGAGCCTATATGGATCACTAGAGTTCCAGTTATAGGACAGTTGTTTCCAACATCCCCAGGTTGGTGAGCATGAGGTAAATCGTATCTCTAGAGTGGAATTTCACTTTTGTGCCATATACGTAACATGAGTACACTTCGAACGGGATTCCGAAAGCCAGATGAAACGAAACAATTCCTGATCCAGCTATTCCTTCTTACTGAAACTTTGAAAAAAAGGTAACTAAAATGGTACTGATGAGGAAACCACCTATGGCCACAAAACCGTTCTTTTTTCCAAGTGATTAGAAGTTTGTTCTGTCTTATTACATTTATTGAACGTTTAGATTAACCTGAGACATCGCTGGGCTCATAGTATTGCTCAGAACTCAATTTTCTCTACACATTACGCTGTTTTTGGGGTGATCATGGAAACTGTCGTAGAACTTACGAAGCACGCCTCTTCCTTCACAAAATAGGCATCAGCTGAGGTCAATCCAAACGGTAGTGTCTATGCCGAACATGACTTTTGCGGAACAGTGAAATTATGTGATGGACCTCTGTAAGGATGCTTGTTCATCAGGTGTTGTTTGGCTAGGTTATCTGTGCGGACAGTCTTCAAACCGAATAGCAGATGAAATGGTATTTGTTCTATCGACACACTAGGATCCGTAAGCATTCACCCAAATAATTCGCTGCCTGGCTAGCGAGCTGACACGTGCTCGCATACGCCAACCTCAGCCATCTTATACCGCGTAATTTATCCTCGAAGTTTGGGCGTGGATAGCACTGGGATATTTTTTGAATGGACTGAGCAGACTAACAAACAAGCGTTTCACAATCGATGCTAGTGCGTTCACCCACATGTCTGTTCTCCATCTTCCACATTCTTTGCCGTTAATTCGCGTCGACAATCGAGCTTTGCAGGTGGAACATTAACGGGACCATTAACGGATGACAACTCGAACGAGCAGCAATGCATACATCCCACTTGGTTACCCTGACAACGGTTACCTAGGCATCATGTGTAAGTTCGCTTCCGAAGGGCGTTGCGGGATTCCAAAAGTGATTCAAAAACCATGAGAATGATGTTTTCCCTACTTTCTTTTTAGTGCACTTCTCATAAGTTTGGCCACTGATTATTCAAGATAACGCACGAAGCACAACACGAAGTACCACCAACAAAATAGTTGACGTTGTTATCGAGGATGGAGGGGGGGTGTTACGAGCACGCTAAAAATAACAGAACATGACCGTTTGATTTTCCCGGACGAAAATAGCTCAGGTGAACGAAGCAAAAAAAATTGAATGTCATTACTGAAGATTGAACACTCAAACTACAAGAATGTCGTGCAAAGGTTGCGGTTGAGAAAGGCGCATGCAATCACAAGTCTTGTTCTTTTGCATGGTAGGCTCCAATTCTATGTGTAATTGAGTACTAATACGTACCAACCATAAACGAACTGTCCTCTGTGTAAATGAGATATCCCTAGTCATCAGGTTATTCCGGTTCGACTCATGCAGCCGGGATAATGCTTTTTTAAATATTGGTCAGGTGGCTATTGATCTATTCACCGAAATCGGCATCCCATCACCAGTCGGGGTCGCCATCGGTGCGAACTTGGGTGGGATGTCTCCTTTATTGGTGACCAAGCTAATTGCCAAGCTCGGCGAACAGATCAACAGCCACCTGGTCAACTACTACGAATGAGGGCATCCAGGCTACCAATATTCCGATACATTTCCAATGAAGCTTCTTGATTATTGAGCATTCCGTAAAACTCGAAGATGTCCTTCGATAAAACAACTCATTGTGGCACCCCATATTGAGTATACTACTCCAGTTAGTTGTTCGTTCAGATGTAGCACCTTTTCGGTGCCTAAATGCCATGCACGAGGGCTGGGATACTGCCAGGTTGCCCAAGATTATACAGTGGAGGTCGAGGGGCAGGGGTCGGGTTCGAACCACGGACCTTCCGGTCAGTAAATTCGCGCTCTAACCACTTGGGCTATCTCGTCCCCTACTTCAGCTAGTGGCAGAGTATGAAACGTTTGTAGAACAATGTGGTCCGAACCAAAACATTTTGTTCATGCAACACCGTTACATCGCTTTAGAATGGTGTTTTCAAACCAGATAAACGGAATCTGATTGTGTGGCTGATTGCTGACGTTTAGGTGTGACCGCTATCAGAAAGTGTAATCAAAATTGTATTGTCATTAGATCAGGGTACCATGAAATCGTTTCAACACAGAGGACGAAATGGAACTTGTCGACACGTTGCTGCAAGTCTGATCCTTTTGAGCACAATGGGAGTACCTAACAACACAATGTAGATATGCGCGAAGGCTATTTAAAATTTCATAGGATTGTTGTGATTCTAAACCAGGTAACATTTGCCACCCCCCCCCCCCCACATACACACACCACAAAGACCACCCATGAAGAACGCAAGGAGCATTCTTTGCCTGTGCACAAAGGAAATGGGTTTGTTACAAACTGACGCAATGTGCCACACCTGATTTCGTTTACATCAGATAATCATTGTCATTTTTGCTCCCCCCTTCTCAAAAATTATTTGGAATTTACGCAAATTCGTATAAAAAGCGCACCTTCCAGCAATATTGGGTAAACCATCCACGTAGACCACGTGGAACGAATCACACATTCTCAACAGCCTAAGTGAAAGGGTAGACAATTCGCCTGAAAAAGTACAAGTGGTCAACTCCAGCAGCGCAGCATAAAGAAGTCGTTTCCCTGGGTTCCAACTGGATTATTCACTACATTCGGAAATCGGAATTTTTCCATAAAAGTTCTACCCCATCTCTGTTCACCTCTTTCCCGGAAACGTGGTTGAGATTTAAAGTTGTCGCATGACCTCAATCTACTCTAATACATTTACATTTTGCCGAAGGCTATCGTCTACTAAAGATGAGGAGTTGTCAAGTCACGCCCTTTCCTAAGAAATCCTCTCTGCGACCAAGACTAATGATAGCATTGCACGCAACCCCACGTGCTGCATGAAGGCCGGCGCCGTGTCTGGAGGAAAAGTCGACTGGTACAATATTAGCTGACTGCTTTTTGGATAGGTGGATATGGATGGCACAAATATTTCACGGATTGTCTAAATATAACGGACCATCGTAAACGAGGAATTCAGTTAAGTCTCTTATCGGAACCGAATTCGCGTGCAGTTGCTGTATTCCACGGATTGTTTGAGACATAATTAGTATAGCAGGCTGGTGGGTCATAGACGTAGCAGCTGTTTATCGAAGCTGAACTTGCGAACGCAGTTCCCCGTATCGCCTCATCCAGAACTAATGCAATTGCAATCTGAACACTTGGTACTCCACTACACTCCCCACCTTACACCATCCGTTCACGCTCTACATACAGTTCCAAACTCTCCGTCTGTATTACCTAGTCTAACGTATCTAGCTCAGTAGTAGCGCTTCACCTACAGTATCATAGCTCTAACGAAACGTGTGACAATGTTATAGTCAGGTTTTTCGGTGCCTCTATGACACGAGATAATACGAACAATCCCAGTTTTCAAGTGTGAAATAGTACGCGAATTAAGCCGAGCTAGGTCTTCCGATAACCATTTTATGCAGAAACAGTGCACATCACACCAAGTACCCGTTAGTTCGTAAAAACCGGTTCACGACTTATGGCTAGGGACGACTGGATTATTAGCCCGAAAATAGATCTCTGCACTTTGAGTATTCTGGGATCCAGAAAACACGGAAAAATGGAGACTATTCGTACACTGAACTAGGACTACTGGTGAAATCTTCTGATAATTTGCATGGTCTACTTGGAGTGTTTGTCTGGAGGTGGTGGGTTAGGTGAACTTTCGGGCACCCTCAAGGCTCTAAAATAAGTCACCCCGAACGGTTACAACGATCTCTATTCGGCATCCTTCAGCCCTTCTCTTCCTAGATGAGCCTTCTTCCAGAATAACATCCGCAAAAGATTTAGGCATGATTTCGCAATCATCTCACAGTTGGATATCCGGTTTCTATGCTCGAAGAGTAGAGACATACCCTGGCTTTTCCGTCCTATCTGACGGCAGACTTCACTGGCTAGATTTCGTCCTGCGCAAGCTCCCAATGTTAATTATTACTGGTTTGAGCTTCTCTGTTTCCCCACATGGTTCGTTTTATAATGATCTTTTTTTATTCCAAGACTCATGTTTTTCTCATACTGTATCATCTGGTGTCTTTGCGACTTTGTGTAGGAAATTCACCTCGATGTGCATGAGTTTTCACTTCAATCGATTTGCACTTGGCTTCATCCTCTATGCATCCTGGCAGTATGTTGTGTGAAACGCTGTGATTGGCACCCGTTTACCTGCTTTTCTCACTCTTGTCCCAACTCTGGACACTCAGATTTCCAATACCTATCCCTTTTGTCCGCTAAATTTAAGATTGATTTTAGTCTGAAACGCTCAGAGTGACTCACATTTGAGGTTCCATAATGAGGTTGTAGATCACTATTGAAGCCTGTCCAAATTGTGTGCGAAGAGTTTCCCATTTCATGGCATGTAAGTTCCTTTTTCATTGACCACTAACAGATACTGATTCCGCTGGTTGACACAGAAGTTTCACCTCGAAATTCCCCCATAAGATCTTGCACCCCCCCTCCACTCTTTCTATGATCCTAATAGGGGCTTGATCGCAGTAGAGAGATAGTTTCTCTAGGCGATGAATTTGATCCTCGAGATGGCATCGGTAAGTTGGTGGCATTCTTAGGCTAATCTTTAGTATTCCCTCGTTTGTCACCTGCAGGTAAAAAAATTTCCACCGCGCAGCACCTGTACTTCTATTCGGTACATTCGCAGTACGACCACAACCCTCTCAAAATTGAAGTACCAACTAGTGGAGACTTCAGCATGCGCCCACTTGAATAAGCATTCTAGACGCTGTTTTCGATTATGATCGATAGAAACTGGGTTAGTCACTGCAACACAAGAATGGATGCACAATTCAACCGGCATCATGGAGCGACCGCGCGCTCCTTCAGCGAAGGCCTGAGTGTTACTTCTCGACTACAGTAGCAGACACCCTATGTGAATTCCAGGACACATCCCTTGCCGATGAGGCAGTGTTCTACGAGATTCAAGTTGGCCCAGCCAGGTGGATCCGGCACACAAGCCTTATTCGACCGACAGATGCACATATCCTGCCCACGGGATAGAGTGATTTGGGTCTAGAAATGCTTGTGATGTCAGTACCATTCCAGAAAATTCACCAACCGCCCCGTCGGAGGCCCACCTTGAGCATGCAATACGACTGTGACGCTGGACAGACGGGACCCACAAGCCAGTGAGGTCACTGCAAGTAAACCCCGGGCTTCGAAGCTACGTCAACGAGTTTCGAGGGGTGTCAGGTGGAATTTCACAATGATACTGCCTTACCGTTCGCAATTAGGCGCTGTTATGGCCGAGAAGTCTATCACAAGCGGCCAGAATTTCAAGTCGCTTGTCCGTCCGGCATCAAGGCGAGCTCCGATCGGTCGAATGGGCCGAAACCCGGGACCCAACAGACAATCGTGACACAGTATTCGCCGAATGCCGGTTGCCAGTGGCGCATCCGTAAGGCGCCAGAAATTCCAGAATGTTGTCGCAGATACACATTATATACGAGTGTTAGTGACCTGGTTAATGCACGTTGTGCACCTTTGGTGGTTGTTTTGACGGGAACGCTAGCTTGGGAGGTTCAGATCGAGAAGGAAGCTGGGGAAAATATGATTATTACAGACAGGCAATTATGGAACACTAGCAAAGTTGCCTTCGTAATAAAGAGGCGCGGTCCAAACACAATACGCAAATACCGGCAATCATGATATCCTATCATTCATTTTTGTCACCGAGTGCGGATACCGTCCTGGACTTACGAGGCGTTTGTTAACTTATCCGTACGGGTAAAACTAGCGTTCCCATTCAACTAACCGGTCGCATACACCATCCATCTGAGCTACATGGGGTTAAAACCAAATGACGTTCAGCCTGAGTTCTCTGAGTTCGGTACGGAAAAGAGTACTCTTTTCAACGAACGATGATTTCGCATGTGCAGCTTTGGTGCGCGCACATTATTCGATTGAGGTCCATGCCGCACAAGTGAACGCTCCTTTCCTAATTGTCGTTGAGGATTCGCCAACACCAGCTTACACGAGCTATGGTTCTGAGACAACGGTTGTCGAAGACTTGAGGAAATCTCAATTCCGCTGCTCACAGAAGCCACCTCTCAAAGCCACACAACAAAATAACCGATACTATGACCCTTGTGATTCAGAGGTACGCCGCCTTAGGTGTCCCAGATTAGCAAACGTAACCCCATCCTGGAAATTCGTACAACTTCCAAGTCAGGTGGAACGCTCCACAACAACGAGTGCCTCTTTGAAAATGCTCAGCGACATGTTTGGTGG